GGCAACAGCAGGAGGTGGCGGGGCGGAACTTTTGGGCTGCGGCTGCCCGCCTTTTCTGTTGCTCGCCTCGCCCCGCCTCGCGCCTGCCTCTCCTCCTCCTCCTCGCTGGATCTTTCATGAAGGTTGGGGTGGGCGTTGGGCCGCATTACGAGGCAACCTGGGCCGCATGCGGCCCGTGGGCCGCGGGTTGGACAAGCCTGCCTTAGATGCTGCTTTGAACTCCTACATGAATTGCCTCGTCTCAATAAAGGATTCCTTTTGATACGTTTGGTTTTCAGAAGTTCATTCTTGCTAATTGAATGGGAAAAAGTTCTGTAGCAATGTCCATTTCTCCATGGGAGCAATTTTAATTAATATTTTTTTCATTCATCCCTAAGTATAAGAATCAGTTGGTGGGATTGTGTCCAACAGTGTGAAACACACTTGTGTTGTGGTGCTGTGGACCTTTCAAAAAAAAAAGGTCCAGGCCCTGGAAACACCGGCAGTCCTTGACTTATGTTTAGCGTCTGTTCGAAATTACAACGGCCCTGAAAAATATGACTTATTACCTTTTTCCACGCTTACGACCGTTGTTTGCATCCCCATGTTCACGGGATTCAAATTCAGACCCTTGGAAATGGACTCGTATTTAGGATGATTGCCGTGTTCTAGAGTCACCCGATCCCCTTTTGCAACCGTCTTGACGAGCGAGGTCAATAAGGGAGCCGGATTCACTTAACAACCGTATTACCAATTGAACAAATGTCCTGATTCGCTTAACAACCGTGGCCAGAAAGGTAAAACGGGGCCGAACTTGCTTAACAACGTAGCTGCTGAAATTTGGAGCGTGTGTGACCCTCGGCACGCTGCAATGGCTGCAAACGGTCATAAGATGCTTTCGCAGAGCCGTGGTAACTTCGGACGGTCGCTAAATGAACGTTTGTAAGTTGAGGACTGTCTTGTGTCGGGGTCGAATAGCGCCCGATTTCTCACAGCATTTGTCATGCCTCTATTGGAATCTGACTCTGAGGGAGAGGAGGAACAGCCGACAGGGAGTGGAAGTGTGGCTCCGGAGGTTGTGGAGGAAATTGGGGAAGGGGACAGGAAGCCCATCCCCTCTTCATCCTCGGGCACGCAGGGAGGAGCGGATAAGGGAGAAACATAAATGGTGTGGTCTACGGGGGAGGAAGGGGCCCTGATCCCCTTCATGGACTGCAGCTGTGAGGACTGTTTAAAAAAAACTGCGCATGGCCCAGTGCTGGAAGCAAAGCGTGAAATTATTCTAGTCTTTCAGTTCTTATCTGAGTTCTGGCATCCTTACCAGTGTTTGTATTTTGATATCTGTGGACGTCTTCAAGCCCTTATCCTGCCTTGTCTCATTAATTGCTTCAGTGGGGTTTGTGTTGTTGTTTTTTCCTATTTATAATTTATATATATTTTGAGTTTGAACGGGATTTCTTCCTTTTCGCAACTGTTTGTGAGGGAGTTTTTTTCTCTCCAGTCAATGATAATTGGAGCTTTGAAGCCAAGTTGAAGGAATTAAAGGGACTTCACCTGCTTTTCCATCCCACCCCTGGGTCATTACAGTGTTTCTACTCCCTGCAGATTGGAAGTCTTGCCAGCCTGAAGCTGAGTCATGTCTGGGCTCAAAATGCCATTTTCGACTGAAACGACGGACGTCAGAGTCACAAGTTGGAGGAAGTAAAACTCACTTGGGGGTTTTCCGGCCTCGGATCCTGGGTTCAAGTCTGGGCACCGTCTTTAAAAGGAGGATTAGGAGCATCAGAAAGAGGTAAATGTTCTGACTCAGGCTTCCCAAGATCACGAAGCCGAACTCCTCGTCCCAATAAAACCCATTTTATTTAGGTTCAAGGAAATTCCTCTCCAGCAAATTCGCGGCCAACAGTCTTTCATGAGATTTCACAACCACAGATGTGAATCAGGCTGGGAGAGTTGCCAGGCCGATAGCTTCCAAACGCCATGCTGTAGCAGCAATGACTTGGCAAGGAGTCGGGAACAAATCTTCACCCTAATGAAATGAACTAATTGTCTCCTGCAAATCCCACTCCCCTTTTGCTCCTCTTTTATTCCCTAGGGGAGGGGCCATTCACCATCCACCTGAGCCTTTACTCCTGAGTCGACCCTTGTTCCTTAGCTGTTCCCTTCGTCTGGCAGCTCTGTGCATGCGCACACTGGGGACAGGCTCCAGCTGTTCTTCTTCCCCACTGATCTCCGACTCTGAAGGCAGCTGATAACTGTCGGAGGGCCCTGGCCCCATCTATGTGTCCGACGCAGAGCCCTCATCAGAGCCTTCCCCAGACTCCAGGACTGGCCCATGTCCCTCCCCAACCTCCTCACTGTCCTAGTCTACCACCAGCTCTGCTGGCTGCTGGCGGGCCACAACAGTGAAGAGAAGAGCAGTGAAACCAAACCCAAGTAGCCCTGAATTTACGACTGTGTGTTTCGTGACTGTTGCAGACCGTTTAGCGACTGTGGCAGCCTCGCCGTGGTCCCATGATCAGAGTTCAGAGGCTTGGCCACTGGCATGTACTTATGACAGTTGCATGTCCTGGGGTCATGTGATCCCCTTTTGCGACCATCTGCCCTGTAAAGTCGACGGGGAAGCGGGATTCACGTAACAACCCTGTTAGCGGCTTCACAGTGGCAGGGATTCGCTTAACGACTGTGGCAAGGAAGGGCGTAGAATGGGACAAAACTCTCTTAATGGCTCAGCAGTGGAAATGTTGGGCTCAATTGTGGTCGTAAATCGAGGACTAGCTGTAATAGACCCTCTAAAGGCAAAAAGTGGGCAGCTAGGGCCCGTTTATGACCTGTGGTCATGTGATGACTCCCTTAATGACTGGCTTACAGTCTTTGACTTACGATGTACAACTGTAATTTTGGGCACTTTTATGTGTCATAAGTCGAGGAACACCGGAAAGTTGTCCAGGAGCAAAGTCATGGTGGGTTTTTCTTCTCTATCAGAACGCAGAGAAGCGGAAACCTGGATTGACGTTACTGGAGGGAAGAGATTCTCCTTCAATGTCGGAAGCAGCTTTGGGTCAGCTGGGGAAGTAGAGACCCACAGAGCAGGTGAGGCTGTTCCCTTGAGGGGGCTTTTATTGGGGTTCCTGCCCCAAGCAGAAAAGGTACCTCTTGCCCTAAATTGCAGGGTAGGATAGGATAATGTAGGGTAGGGAAGGGAAGGGTTGGGTAAGCAGGGAAGGGTAAGGTAGGATTGCGTAGGATAAGGTTGTATAGGGTAGGGTAAGGTAGGGTTGGGTTGGGTTAGGTAGGTTTCTGTAGGGTAGGATTGTATAGAGTAGGGTAAGGTAGGGTTGGGTAGGGAAAAGTAGGGTACAGTTGGGTAGGGTGGTATAGGGTAGGGTGAGTTAGGGTTAGGTAGGGTAAGGTAGGGTAGGGTTGTATAGGATAGGGTTGTATAGGGTAGGGTAAGATAGGATTGGGTGAGGTAGGGTAGGGTAAGAAAGGGTAGGGTATGGTTGTATAGGGTAGGCTTGGGTAGGGTTGTATAGGGTAGGGTAAGATAGAGTTGGGTTGGGTAGGGTAGGTTGTATAGGGTAGGTTAAGATAGGGTTGGGTAGGGTAGGGTAAGTAGGGTTGGGTAGGGTTGGGTAGGGTGAGTAGGGTAGGGTTGGGTAGGGTTGTATAGGATAGGGTTGTA